GTTGGAGAGAAATATATAGTAAGGTGAACTAACCAACGCAACTTACTGACGTCACAAAACCACAAACTAATAGTTTGACTAAGTAAGAAAATCCCACAGTGCCCAAACCGGATTAAACACAGATTAAAACTGGATAATTTATTCTTTTGAAAACCACTTTCAAGTTTTAATAACACCAAAAAAAACACTAAAAAGTTGAAGGACAAACTAAAAAACAAATTATTCTACCTATGAAAAAAAAAGGACACAACCAAAACAAAAAAAGAGAAAAACACGTAATGAAAAGGCAACAAAAGATTGAATATATAAAGAGACTCTGTACAAAGAGATCATAAAATATAGCAATCTCCTGGCCTAACCAACCAGAGGGACGTCCTGAGCATGCTCTTTAGCCGGCCTAACGCAACACAACCACTCTTTGTGACCCACACTCTATTTTTGCTGAGAATTTAAGCGATTTTTGCTGAGAGTGTGAGCGACTCTTTAAAAATAACCAAACTAAAATAAAAACGCTTTTGCGATAACAATTAAAAGTTATTCTTAACTAAAACTTGACTTTCAAGAAGTAATTACATAAATGCAGTATGTAAAGATTTCTTAGAGCCCAAGAAACGAGAAGCAAAGGAGTTGACAACCCGACTACACTCCAACTCTGGAATGCCAAATCTATTTGGTACGCTGCCGAAGTCACTATCCTCAAAGGATTTAAAGTATGGACTCAACATCGCAGCAAAGGAAACCCATTGAACAAGACCAATGGCCATCTCGATGTTGATCTCACATACCGATCCTAGTCACTTGGCACTTCACACGGAAAAGTCAAACTTCACCCTGCACGTAGTCTCGCTCTAAACTTAATGAAATCGATACATTATTGCATCGAGCAGAAGTCTTGACACAATCACCCAAGACTACCCACGATCAACGAGATCCATCTTGAATCACGAACAAAACAATCTTCTTCCATTTACACGATAAATTATGTCTCTGGCCTCGTCAAGAAGTCACTGCTCAAAACCTGCAAAGGAAACTACGTCAGTCGTCCTTCACTACAATAAACAAATAAAAACTAAAAACTCTCCAAGCCCCGGATGGGTAGAACCAGTTCTGAACTAGTATTTATTAACCAATTGTTTTATTGATAAAAACTATCACTATAAAAAATTACTAACTCACCAATCATTTTCCATCTCTAACATTGATACTTATTTGTAAGTGCTGAAACTACTTGTAGTTTCAGCACCAGAACAATTTGAATAAATCTTTGAATACAGTTGTTCTCCTTCTGGAAACACTCCAAGAACTTACTTGCAAAAACCAGTATACACTAGATCCATTGAGAGTAAATACAAGAGTAAGATTAAGACTGGTATTAGACAAAGAAGTTGCACGAATCTATCCGGCCGAAAATATGATAGCGTGACGAACAGACAGTGTACCTTATCTGGAATTATTCTATGAGTACAGGCCAAAAGTCATAACTCAGTACATAATCTTTCTATTCTTTACTAGATTTGAATGAGGAGGAGGTGGTTAAAACGATCTGTTATAAAAAAAATTTTAATACACCACTGTTTAATGACTCTCTTTTTGCATTAATACACCCCTTTTTGCAAGCTCAATACACGTTGGCGCGACTGCAGTGGCCATAACTTGCTGTTAATTTGCTGTTTGAAGAATAAAGCGTGTATTAGATAAGCAGCAACCCATTTATCAAATAAAGCGTGTTAGATGAACAGAGCGACCAAATGGCATAATGGAACCAGTTCTAAACTAGTATTTATAACATAATATTTTTTTGATAAAACTATCCCTATAATATATTACTAACTAACCAGTCATATTACTAATTAACACTGAGAACTATTTGTAGTGCTGAAACTACCTGTAGTTTCAGCACCAGATCAATTTGAATAAATCTTAGAAGACAGTTGTTCTCCTTTGGACAAGTTCCATAAACCAAACCCGCAAATACCAGTATACACTAGATCTAGTGAGACTAGGAGATATAAAAGTAGGATTAAGATTTGTATTAGATTAAGAAGTTGCACGAATCTATCCGGCCGAAAAAAAAGATAGCCGGACGAGCAGACGGTGTACGCTATCTGAAATGAATCTACGAGAAAGCTACCTCCGGCTTAAACTCATCTGGTGCGACCAAACAAGAACTAACTAAACAAGACCTAACAAAAGTCCCAAACAAGAAGACCTAACTAACCTAGGTTGAGCAAATTAGAGTTAGACCAAAAATGCAAACTGCAAAATGATAGATGGTATAGACAAATCCAATTGGGTATTTCTCTACGTCTCAATGAATCTACTCCAATATTCCAAACCTTACAACAAACACCAGTTCGATAACTGACCAATAGACAAAGCTACTACATCCTGTCAAGACGCAAACGGCAAAGAGTTTATGTCTTCAGAACCCTCTATGCAGTAGATTTTCATTCTCTGACATGAAAATAAATTCACTTTGAAAAATAAACCTAATTTCCAAGCAATAAATTTCTTGATAATTTATAGCCATATTTTATAACGATAATAACGACGAAAAAAATTAACAGAAGTCATTTCTTTCATCAAAATCTGCAGTATTTTTATTTCGAAAACTTTAGTAAAATTAAATTAATTTGATTGAAAATACAAAAATTAGTTAGAAAATAAAATTATATAAGTTATATTAAAATTATAAAAAGTATCTTGCTTCTCGAGAACATGTTTTTCTTCATCCTCGCTTACTCACCTATAAAATATATGCTTTTATTGAAAAACTAATATAATTTAAAATCATAATCCTTGGACAAATTTTTCAACTTAAAAATTTTCTTTCATTTAAAACTTGTATCTAAATAATTATCAAGGCCTATCCTTGCTTTTCGATAATAAAAATTTATTTTAAAATACAGATTGTCCAAGCTTCCCTTGGATCTTTAAATTTAACCTTAAATTAAGGATTATTCATTTTAATTAATTGATCATCAAGGCCACCCTTGGATCAATCAGGACAATTTTGTTCTCTTCACGTCATAATTATAAGCGTCTAACGACCTCAAACGTCGATGATTTACTCTCCAACCATTTATCAAAGACCCAGGACTAGTAGAAAATTTTGGAAAACTAACCATTATAGTTAGGGTAAACAGTGAAGAACATCGGTTACTCATCCTTTACTTGAGCCCTTCCTCTTAGCTGACCCAGGCTAAAACTACCATAATATTAGTGGGTTTTAAAATAGTATCTAACGATCTACTTGCGTTCTAATTATACCTGAACCTTGTGGGTTGATTTACTATTTTTCAACCCTTGGTCACAAATCTCAACCCCTAGGTAAGATTAGGTAAGTAACTCATAAATTAAAACCTAGTCACAAGAAAGTAAAAATCATTCTAACGAATTGATATACTCTCTCTCTTTCTCCAACCCGTCAACCTCGACAATCTAATCCCCAAGATTAAGATGACCAACAAAACGTAAGAACTAACAGTTTAAGAAACAAAAAATTCTAACCCTTGGATTTTGCATCTTTCATCCTAAACCTTATGCGAAGTGATAATTTAGGTAGTAAACACACAGTAGTACTTCACAGTTGTTTAATTCAAAACGAAAGATACGATCTTGTAATTACACCACATAGACGAACAATAGGATATATTATCATTTTCTTAGTATTAAAAAAAAATAGATTATCATTTTCTTAGTATGATTGACGTTTCTAATAATTGTTTAATCAATTAGCCCGCATAAATCAATACAAGTTAATGTTATTCTGTTCTTCTGCTCTTGGACCCATTCGGCTCTTAGACTATTCTGCTTATTGCTCCGCCGCCCTTAGTTTATATTATTTTTTATTCCTCCTGCGGATCTTGTTAGTTATTCCCCCTCCCCCCCCCCCCCACTAGTGCAATAAAGGAGGGAATAGTAAACAAGATCCGCAGGAGGAATAAATAAGAATAAAAAATGAGGGAGGCGGAGCAATAACCAGAATAGTCTAAGAGCCGAATTGCAATAAGGGGGGGGGGGGGTGGGATAGTTAACAAGGTTCAAAAATCGTATATGCTTAACCGTTCAATTCTTTCTTTGTGGGGGAGGGGGGATTCAAACCATAGGGGGGGAAAGAGTTAACAAGATCCCTTCCTGCTTTTAGAACTGATCGCTGTCTGCTTTAAGAATTAAGACAAACTTTTCGGACAGAACAGGTCGTCAAGTATAGAGAAATACTACCCTAACCAATCAGCCTCGACATGTTACCGGTCTTCGAAAATTTAACCGATCTTCTAAAAACAAGAATTTATGATTATTGTTCCGACTTTCGATACGAAAGTAACGGAATATTTGTGCTCGGAGTGACTTTTTAACTAGCCATTTTTGACGAATTTTTTTTATATCGTTCGAAAATTATTGTTGTCCTGAGCTTAAATTTGAAAAGATATTTCACCTGTGATCATTTTTTGTGAGGTTATGGGGGTTTAAAGATTGGCATTTTGGCCAATTTGGGACAATTGACGCGCGATGTATTTCGCGCTTTTAACGCGTAAGCAGAGATTTAATCCGTTTTGGAAGTCATTCCAAATTGGTTGAATTAAGCTTATTTCAAATTGATAGAATAAGCGAAATCTATTCTTTTGTACTTTATATGGCATGTGGGGGGATGATTTTCACTAAAAAGTTCAAATTTCAGAAATTTTTTTTTCATTTTGTTTTATTACATTCAATTTTTTTAATGTTATTACTATTCCATAAATCTTAAAAGGCAGTCGGAACATTCAGAGCTTCGCTCTGATACGAGCAGTATTGTTGTTTTTGCGTACGTTTAATATTCTTTTCTCAATTTTGATTGGTTAAAATTGTGTTCGCCTACTTGATGACCTGTCTACTTAAAAAGTTGTCTATTTGTTGCTCTGTAACACTTATCTCTGGACTTACTCAAAGTTTACCTCCGAACTTATTTAACTCAATTTTTAAATCAAACTAGTAGAAATAATAAGGTTTCATTTTAGAACACTGCTCAGAAACCCGGAAATCGTACAAAAAGAGCTGTTTCTGATACAAAAACTTTGCACCGCACAATTGTTAGTGAGTCGATTGTTTCAAAAGAGCCAGTGACAAACTTTGGTCCTAGTTTTTGTCAGGACATTTTAAAATCAGTCACAGAATGGAATTTTTGCGAGCGGTTCTTCGTTGATGACTCTCAATGTAAAGAGTCATGCGCGTCCAATGATGAAAAAAGTTTCTGCACCGATGTCAAAGACAGAGAGATCAAGCTGCAAATAGTGTTGGAGGATTTCCAAAACTATCAAGAAGAGTACCGAAAGCAAGCTGATCTTGTAATAAGGTACATGAAAGTTTCAAACCATCAATCTGCTTTTGTGGACTTATGACATTTGAGGATAAAAGCTTTTTGCTTTTCCATGTAAAATTTTAAGGAGCTAGATTCGGTGACATCAGCAGAATAAAAACTTAATTGTGTTGATCTGAAACCTGTGTAAGATGTGTTAATCTGTAGAAATTGAGCAAAACGGAAGCACCTTTGTCGCATAAATTACTACTTAGGTTTACTTTACTACTAATTTGTTTTACGAGCCAGGTAAACTTAAGTTTCTTAGGAATAAACCAAAATGGGCCATAGACACTTAGCATATTGGTAGGGGATTCACTTTGAGATCGTCAGATCGTGTAATCGATCCTCTGCCATGGCAATGATAGTGTGTGAGGTCGAGCTGTTATTTGACCTCTAGCTTCAGGTCTACGGCAGCCTGACCGGTTTCAGCCTCAATAATGGCAGCACGTGAAAATTCTAGACGCAAAAAAAGAGCATTTCTCAACAAAATAATTCAGTCTGGAATGAGGGGAAATGATAGAAACGGACTATGCTTAAACAAGCTGGATAGCCTTTCAAATATCCTCTGCGAATCGCAGAAACCACAAAAAAGGGAAAAAGAAGAATCTATGTTGTGGTCTTATTTCATTCATATCGAAACTTGTTTTTAGACAGCACTGTTGGGTGAAAATATTCACGAGCACAATGAAACTTAAGTTACACGAGCGAGACGACAGAAAAATTCTCATAGACTCAATCGAGATCGACCCCTCAAGATACGACAAAACGAAGCCCTGGTTATTCAATGACGTACAGGTTAATCTCTCCTTGAAGCAGAGTGGCGGTGACCCCAAGTACTATATCAAGCATCAAAAACTGAGGATATTTGAGCCTGTCAATCTACTGAACACATTCAGCGTCAACGCAATTCAGCCATTTGCGAATGCACTTATTAACCAATTGAACGCCAAGTACATTGAAATACACCCCATTACAGAGCTATAAATGTTTATTTTCATTGATATGTACATCATTCTGTACGTTTTCATTTTTGAATAAAAATAAGAATGAATTAAGATCTCTTCAAAGTTTTTGAAAGTTTTTGAAAGTTTTTAGAGTCTTTTTTAGAGTTTTGCTTTTGAGTTTAAGAAAGATCTTAGTACTCTTTTTTTCTGAGATTAAATTTAAAATAGATTTTTGTAGATTTTTAATCAACTAGGGAAAAATATATCATGAAACGTTTTCAGAGCGTTCGAAGCTTCTTCGCTCTGAAGAGTTTTACGGCAGCAATTGCGAAACACGGTCACGGCTTCCACTTCACAGTTAAAATGTCCTTGCGCAAGTGAAGCCAAAACTTATAAGCTCAGAAAAAAATTAGATGCAAGTCTTAATTAGGCGCACAACAAAGAATTGCTGTATATGAGCTCAACATCCTGTATGAGGGTCCCTTAAGAATTCATTTTATCGAAGATAACATAACAACTTCTAATATCTCAAAAACTTAAAGTCTTCGATTGATAATTTGAGCCTGAAGCACCTCCACAAAACTTGATTTATAGATGCCCTTCAACAAATTATCATTGAAATGGTATCTGTTATTAGTTTGAGTAAAAAGCCACACATCTGGCAGCTTGTTTATGTGCATATCAATTTGAACTGTTATGATTATTAATTTCAGCAAGCACTGAACGCTTTTCTAAAAAGTATTCAATACTTTTTAAAAGCCTTGAATACTCGAATACCTCACTCAGCCCTATCTAACATTAAATTTTAGAACCTGAAAACCAATACATGCATTCAGGGGCTGATCTAGAATTTTCTCGAGGGGCTCAGGGCTCTTTTTCCTTCCCCCCCCCCCCCCCCCCCACCTCACTCAAACATGAATTTTATGGTCTAACGAGTGGTTTTACAAGGTGAATTATGACCAAATATGCTTGTTATGGTCTAATTAGTCTGCATGTCAATTTTTACGACAATCGGACAAAGTGAGCAGTAACTTCAAATATAAAAATTTGCAGGTGGGGAGAAAAAGGAAAAAGAGCCGGAGTCAGATTTTATCGACTTCTTTAGGCCGACCAAACCAATTTTGCGAGATCTGACAAATCACTATGAAGACGGTTCCCCCTCAAAATTAGTATACATGGGCGCCAAAGGCGCATTTCGAAAAAAATTGAGGTTCCGGCAGCCACCAATGGAAATTTCAAAATAGTGCAGAAGAGGGACCCTTTGGGTCGGCAAGGGGTCGAATCCTGATTGGGAGGCGTCCGTCCCCCCTAACCCTGCTGGTGCATGCATTTCCTAAGTCCTACTTTTGATGATCGGAAAAAAAAAACGTAGGTACTGACTAACAATAGAACGAAATTATTTGAATTTTTCTAAAATTTATCCTGTCTGAAATTACTCTATGAGTGAGCCACCCCGGACTTAATTCCACAAAGGACGAATCTCTAAATTTTTTCCCGACATAAAATTAAAACAGAGCTGCATACAGCATCTAGCTCAAAAAAAGGACGAATCCGCTTATATGTGATTTGAAGCATGTGCTCAATTGCCAGATCATCTTTTTAAAAAATAAATCACAAAGTTAGAAATTTAATCAGAAAAACAATTGCGAGACGAGATTTTAAAAAATACGAAAATTTATAACTGAATCTTTGAACAAATTCTTTCGGAAAAATTAATTGATGTCTCTGCTAATCGCAGAGAATCTATGAAATGCTATTAAGCTTGTCTACCCTAATTCGTCTTACCCATAATCTAGACAGTTATTTTATTGAGCGAAACTCTGTTTTGCGACTCACGGCTGTTCTTGTGCCTAGAGTTTTCACGTGGTACCATTATTGCAATTGAAATCGGTCATACTGTCGTAGAAATCAAGATAGAGGTCACATAAGAGCTCATCCTCTCACGCAAGGATCGCAATGGCAGGGGAGCAAAAACACCATCTGATGCTTTTAAAATTTTACCACTGTACTTAGTGCTTCATGTTTTGAAGATCTACGTGCCTCAAAAAATCGCAAACTACAACTACGTTTCAATTTCTACTATAAGATGCAATTTAGGACTTGCAATTGTTTTTTAATACAATTGTTGTATAAAACCAAAAATGTTACAAGAAAAATTTCGGCAATGTCAGATAAAAAAAGTATCGAATTTCGAAACTTTCAAAAACTGATATTTAATTTACAATCGTAAGTTTTCATGGAAAAACTGGCAACTCTAGAGATAGAAACTAACTTTTACCACAAGAAGATCAAAAATTTGACAGTTTTAATTCATAATTATCAAACTGAGGCTTGCCAGTTTAAATGAAAATTAGACATAAATTTAACTTACAAAAAGTGAAACGAAAAAACACATCAAAAAAACAAACACTAACAGCAAAAAAAATAAACCTAATTCAAGCCTTTTCATTGAACACAGATGCCGTTATGAGATTTCCATCACTTGCGACGAAACGCAGGCTAATACAAGCATTGCAAGCTAATACAAGAAAATGAAACGGACATAAATGTCAAAAAAAACAATTAACAAAAATGAATCATTTTTCTTTGAAAAAACTAACTCGGGGGGAAAATCACCAGTATTAAAAAATGTTTTAGTATATTTGATCGAGCATTCGCCAAGCCGTTAAAAGTTGGGTAGGCTCCAATTGAGCCAAGAAAAATTTTAAATTAAAAAAGAAAAAATGTCTAAAAAAAATTGAGAGATTAAGTTTAAAAAATTGTTACACCATAATCGGCCTATAATTCGATTTACTTATTAAAAAATTTCTTTCAAGCTGAACAAAATTATTGAACAAGACGACTGTCAGTTAAAGTAAAATGGTTAAAATTAAAAAAAAAACTAGTGCTTTAGAAACGATGTCGGCAAAAATTGAGCAGAAAACGGAACTCCGACAATTTCTTCCGGGAAGTTTTTTTCCTTTAATACATACTAATAAACAATGGTTCGACTGGAACATAAAGCCCAAACCATACATTGCAAAACAACCTTGTTTCCTTTAAATCAAATGAGAAGTAACATGGAGTTTGCTAAGGATCTGTTAGAAAGTAAATTCAGTATCTTACAGATTAATAAAAAAAAGTTCAGGGGCAAAAAAAATCTAGTTCTCGATCACAAGACACTTGCTTTGGCAAGTGTAATTAAAAGACAGAAAAAAAATTCCGAAATTTGCTAGTGAACTTTCAGGCAAAATCTTAGACGGTCAATTTGAAAAGGTACCTATCTTTTCAATCAACTTAGTTAATCAGAAATTTCTTTTCAAAAAGAATTCTCTGTTCTTCCCGTCAACTGCAGAAGTGTTATTGGAGAATGCTGTTAGTTTTATGGATAAAAAATGAAGTTGAGTAATTAACAAAAAAGTTAAAATTCAACCCAAAATGTAATCTTCGTTATGAGCAAACTTTGAGACTTTCAGAAAAAGGATTAGGATTTCATGATCTGCCAGTTGCTTCCAACTTAAGTCTCTTTCAACTTTGGCGCGTAGTTTGTACAGAAAAAGTCGAAATTTCCCAAAAATTCAAAAATTACACAAAAAGGCGAAGATGCGCTCCGCAAATAGTAGCGTGAACACGACAAAAAGCAGCTCTATCATGTGGAATAAAAAAAATAAGCCTCAAATTAGCAAAAACTCAGCTACGTGTCAGATTCGATCTGTGACCTAACAATTTTGAGTCTCACGCACTAACCACTCAAGTACGGACGCTCGCTTAAAATTCCCTGAAAACCGATAAAGCAGCTATCACATGTTAATAAACTGCTTAATCGTTTCAGCAAAAACGGCACCAAATGCAAAAACAAAAACAATTTTGCATGAAACATACGGTAAAGCATAAAACCAAACTATCTATTAATTATGAGTATCAAAAAATGCAGATACATAGAATTGAAAGTTTCTGAAATCAAGCTTTTTATTGTGCTGCAGTTTGATACAAATAACTTTTTTCGATTCATTTGATGAATTAAAAATGTATCAACTGTGTTAACTTTCTACTAATCAAATGCCTAAGCACATATGCCATTATTTTGCTGCAGCCATTATTTTGCGGCTTTACCTTGCTGCAGCTTTTTTATTTACGAATTAGGTGTGAAAAAAGAAGGTATGTACTAAAACACAAAACTCAGCCAACTGACTAGGGTAAAACATTATTACTGCCTACAGATATTGTTGCTAATTTCATGCCAAAAAAATGTCTTCTAATTTTTAAATTCTTAGTCGCTCGCGTTCAATGCTCCAAAATAGAATGACAAGCAAAACTTTTAAATCAATTTACCACGACACAGAAAAATTTTTAGTAATCATTGATTTCGATCTTTAAACGTCTATTAATTCAAAGAATCTCAACTTTAGAATACCAAAAAAAATAGATGCCCTTAAAATCCTTTGAAATTTCAAAACCAATTTATGATTGGCACTTTTTTGCTTAAGTTAAATGAATAAAAAACTGGATTGATAGGTAAATTTTTTGTTTCCCTGGAAAATCCGAAAATGAATTGCCACTTTCGGAACCAATAGTCAATCACGTTTTTCGTGAGGTTTATGACTCTTGAAAAACTAAAATTACCATTGAAAAAAAAACGTGTTCAATGCGTTCAAATGAGCCATCGCACGGTTGCTTTATGAATTAAAGTCGTCCACGTCAGAAAAAGATAGGATAAAGTTTCAGGCAACATTTCGTGTTCCACTTCTGTAGGCCAAGTTAAAACTTAACACTTGACTAATAAACCAAACTTCAAAACAGCTCTTATTTAGCATATAATTCAGAACTAAAGCCCACAAAAAGTGACCAACAAAAAATCTTAACCAGCTTTTTGATTGAGTTTGTTGTTGTGTGCCTTCTATAAGCGAATGAATTTGAATATAACTTGAAAAATCTAACGTTCATTGACACTCAAAGTTTTTCGTTGTTTTTCTGCACTTAAGAAATTTCACACCTTACATTTTTACACCGTTTTATATTTCTTTCATCTTCAAAAAAAACATTTTTCAAGTAAAATTTTATTAAAGTCTCTGATTTGTGACAAATTAAGATATCAACAGTGTCCTCAAATCAACACTAGAGAAATAACTATATCTGTAAACACGCTTACAAATATTAACAACATTAATTCAAAACACAAAATACCGCTTTTACTGCATAATCATAATCACATCTTCCACACATGAACCACGCTAGGTGGATTTGATATAAATGGCACTCAGTGATGAGATTGGAAAACCGTAGGCAATAATTTTTTTTACAGTAATAGTATTTGGCTATTAGTTTTCATTTGGATTGTACTGAGGCTGGAGGTATCCAGTTGTTCATCAAAGTGGTAAGCTAGAGCTCATCCTTGGGCTCTGTATCTTCATCCTCGCCTTCCTTCTCCTCGGTCTTCTCTTCGTCTTCTTCTTCATCTTCAGGGAATTCAGGCTCAGGCTCAACCTAAAAGGATCACTGATTAGTATTCAGTACTATATGTGAATTTCAGATAAAGCTATGTCTATTTATGCAATTTGCTGACGGCGAGGTGAACGCAAAAACTAAATTTAGATAGAGAATGAATTCATACCTCTTCGTTTACGTCGATATTCAGGCTCGTCTTGAGCATTCTTTCAATTCTACCAGCAAAGTTAGGCATGTCTGATATCTGGTAGCCAGACCTCAGCAGGGCAGTGTCAAAAAGGGTTTCAGCCATGTCTTTTGTCTTCTCGTCAGAGGCATCCGCTTCTACTTGTCTCAGCAACTCTTTGATCAGAGGATGTCTAGGATTGATTTCCAATGTCTTCTTTCCAGAGTAGACATTAGCCATGCCCTCGTTCTCTCGGTGATATCCTTGGGACTTCATGATTCTCTCCATGTTCCCAGACCATCCCCATTGTGAAGCTACAAGGGCGCACGGTGACTGATCCAATCTGTCAGAAATGGCTGCTTTCTCAATCTTGTCTTTCAATCCAGTTTCTTTGAGCCATGTCGTGAGAGGTTTGAACTGTTCTTCTGTCTTTTCTTTAAGTTCTTTCTTTTTTTCGCTGTCTTTACCAATCTTAAGACCATCTTTAGCGACGTTCTGGAACTTTTTCGATTCGTAATCAGTCAATGATTGAATGCAGTATTCGTCAATGGGTTCCGTCAGATATAGAACTTCGTATCCTTTCTTGAGGAGTTTCTCAACGAAAGGCGAGGTCTCAATTTCAGCTACGCTAGAGCCTCCCATGAAGAAAATGTTCTCCTGTGAAGACTTCATTCTCTCAATGTACTTATCCAAAGAAGTCATTTCGTCTTTGGAGTTGGAGGAGTGGAATTTGAGCAGCTTCGCAATCCTGTTCTTGTTTGCGCTGTCCTCCATGATTCCGAACTTCAATTTAACTCCGTATTGCTTATAGAAGGCATCATAGTCTTTATCGTCCATCTTCTTAAACATATCGAGAATTTTTCTGATCAACTTCTTTCTTATGATTTTGATCAATTTATTCTGCTGCAAAGTTTCCCTGGATACATTCAGAGGCAAGTCATCTGAGTCAACAATTCCCTTGATAAAGGACAAGTACTTCGGCATTAGATCGTCAATCTTGTCTGCAATAAATACTCGCTTGACGTACAGCTTGATGTTATCCATGCTCGGTGAGTCAGTATATGAATCATGAGGTGCTGTTTTCGGCACAAAAAGAATGGACTTGAAAGTGACTTCTCCTTCCGCCGTGAAATGAGTATAGGCAAGTGGATCTTCGCTGTCTTTAGTGAATGATTTGTAGAATTCTTTGTACTCCTCGTCCGTGACGTCGGATGTCTGTCTCAACCAGATTGGCTTGGCTTCGTTCATTCTCTTCCAATCCCAAACAGTCTTCTCAACTGTCTTCTTTTCCTTTTCACCTTCTTCTTCCTCCTCGACAACTGAGTCCTCGTCCCCATCAGCTTCTTCGTCCGCTGGTGGTTTCTCTGTGGCATCGGAAGCTTCATCTTCAACCTCTTCTGTTACTGTCTGAAATAGATTTGATTATCATCAAACATAGCCATTCGAAAAATAACATTGATTACAATTTTTTTTACCTCTTCAACTTTTGAATTTCAATAAATACATGGCCAACAGACAGTTGTAAAAGTGTGAATTCACGAAAGTTAACCGATAAAATACTGACGCAATTTTTGAAAAATCTAAATTTTCTAATTTTTAAAAAATGACCTTAATGCTCTGAACTTCTAGAACAATTTATGATTGACACTTTTTTGATAAAATCAACCCTTTTTGAAAAAACTATATCTTTATTTTTTTTATTACGCTGAAAGAAAAAAGTTATGACCTTTTTAAGTGTCTTCACTACTTTTATTCACTTCACTACTTGCACATTAAACAAGGACAATATTTAGGACGGGAAAAACCTTAAATGACAAATCATTGTCTATAATTCCGCTTTTTCAAGCTATGACGGTTCAAAATTAACAATATCTTACCTTGCTGCTCCACAGGTAGATAGGGAAGTTGATGAATTGACTGTATTTTCGCACTAGATCTTCCAGTTTGTTCTCTTCCAAGAACTCAATTGACTCGGGTCGCATGTGCAAGCTGAAAATAAAATCATTTAATCTTATCTAGAATATTGTATGGATTGATGATGGCAAGGTGTTCCACTACAGACATCTGTACCTTATTTGAGTCCCTCTTAGAAGTGTGTCACCACGCGGATCTTCCGCTAGAGAAAATTCAGCAGCGTTCGACTCCCAAATGTGTTGTTTGTCATCATTGTGCTTTGATGTGACAAACACTCTGTCTGCGACCAAAAATGACGAATAAAACCCAACGCCAAATTGACCAATAAGGTCAGTTGCTTTCGAGTCGCCTTCTTGCATCTTTTGAATGAAATCGCTCGTACCAGATTTGGCTATTGTCCCAAGATTTTTCACCAAATCATTTTTAGTCATTCCAATTCCTGTGTCGATGATGTGTAGTAGGTTATTCTCTTTGTCTGGTTTGATTCTAATGGAAAGCTCCTCCGTTGCATCAAGTGCACTTTTGTCTGTGACCGATAAAAATCGGAGTTTGTCGAGGGCATCAGAAGCATTTGATATTAGCTCTCTCAGGAAAATCTACATAAACCAACGCCTATTCATTTAACAAAATCTAAATTAAATCTAAGTTAACCCAATGTAAAAAATAAGCAAATTAACCTCCTTGTTCTTGTACAGTGAATTGATAATCAATTTCATCATTCTATTGACTTCGGCCTGGAAATGATGCTTCTCGGCAGCATCTCTCAAATTCTTCATATCTGCCACATTAAGCCCGTCCAACTTGATGGCCTCTTCCTCTCTAGGCAGACGACAAAAATCAGGAACTCAATTAAATTAAAATCTATTTCAAAACCTAGCCATCAGACTGTTGGAAACCAGAATACACTGAAATATTTTCTAATTCGGGTATGAAATGACCACATTTTGGACAAAGTTGATGATGCGGTAACTAAGTAGACAGAAAAAAGCAGACAAACAGAATTTCGACAAAAATTTTACAGAAAAAGCAGGTCGTGGCCGGACTCCAACCATTGACCTTTGTCTTTATAGGTGCTTTACCTATTCGCCATATGCGCAAATTAACGTTGTACTTTTGATTTGATATGAACCCAGGTAAAATGATTCAAGTGATTCTCTTTCGGTTTGACAATCGCAAGCGTAATAGCACATTAAAGCTTTTTCAAATTAACGAATCAATTATAATTGAAGTGTCTCCTTAAAATTGAGTTAAAGAAAACTAGGTTAATTGATAAATCCGTTGGCAATTCTGAACTTAGCCAATCGAAGATTGGAAAAGAGTAATGAACGCAAGTAAACATAAAACAAACACTGACTCTGTAGACTTTCGAATTTCAAAGAGAAAAACAGATGCCCTTTAAGCTCTTTGAATTTCTAGAACAATTTATGATTGGCGCTTTTTTGATAATTTGACCCAACTTGAGAAAACTGGATCAACAGGTAAAGTTTTTCTTCCGCTGGAAATCTATAAATCAAATTCGAAGTTCGAAACTAAAAATCGTTCACGTTTTTTGTCCCATTTCCACGTTCGTATTTGGAGAGTGCTATTTACGTAACTATCAGCCGATTAATTTCAGTTGAACTCAAAAAGTGCATATATATCTAAGTGCATTCATAAATGCATCAATATGTATAAATGCACATCTATAGTTATTAGACACTTTTAAGCACCTTTTAAGACTGTATCCTGAAAAAAAAAAGATAAAAAATCATGAAGGACTATATAAGTCTTTCACTGCATTTTGGAACTTGAATTCATAACAAATTTTGCGCACCATATTTTTTTGTTACTCGAGAGCGTAATTTGCATTCCTTTCAGCAAATGAATTTGAATTGAACAAAAGAAGATATAGCCAACAGACAGTTGGAAAACAGGAAAAAAACAGACAGTTGGAAAACAGGAGTCTTTTATGAAAAAAACTTTCGAACTTCAAAAACCTATGCCCCTAAAGCTCTTTGAATTTCTGCAATTTATGATTGATACGTTTTTGGTTAAATTAACCCAATTAGAGAAAAATGAATCAATGTTAATTTTTCATTCCGCTGGATATATTCCACAAACTACAGGAGTAAACCAAAAACACTAGCAACTTCAATGAAAAGTGGGTACTCGTTTTGAAGTATGGTCCCGTTAAACACATAGTTTAAAAGTATCATCCCCAAACACTAATATGGTCCCATATAAAATCAAACAGCAAAGATATAGCATTTTCTAAGTTTTACCAGGAAACGATTTTTTTGATAGTTTTATTTGGTAGAATACTTGTGTTAAATTAAACAAAACGATTACAATTTTCTCTTAATTTCCATCCAATTGAAGTACTGCAAGTAGAATTCAAGTGTTCATGCGTGAATACAGTTAGTAGAATTCAAGTGTTCATGCGGCACCATAATTGCGTACAGCATATGAAAATTCCGTGATAAACCAACGAAGCCGTCAAAACACAACAAAAACCAACAACCCGAAAATTTCATGTAACGGCACATTTCCAATTTGAAAAAATTCCTGGCCGGCTTCTAACTTTTCAAGAGGTTTGTGCAGAAGAGAAAATCTGGCATGTTCAGACCCGGGTTAAATTGTCAAGACTTTGAAACCGAGCAATTAACATATCATAGAGGGTAGCTCTGACCATTTGCTCTTGGTCTATGTAAAAATTTTGATGACGCTCGAAGTAAATGTTGTCCAAAATTAACATTAGCAGCCTTTTCAAAAAGCTGAAACATTGATCGATTACTTGTGTAGAATTATGGTCTCGCCGTTTATAGTTAAGTCTCATTCAAAAACCTTGCGCTTCACTTCCAGACCACATCCACTTGAAGAAAAACACAAGGAAGTACTTCAAATTGATTAAAACAAAAACAAAACTTTTGAAGCTGCCCTTAAGATACTAGCGAGTATATTGCAACCCCGGTGCTTCAAACAGATTGATGAAGATGAGAATTAATTGCTTCTGTATATAAATATATGAAAGAACAACGAAGTTAAATGCAACCGTAATAGACTGGGATTCTAACAACGCTTTTTATGTCATTAAATAAATGTCAATTTAACGGTGGACTAAAATGGTCAATTCCTAAAACTACTGGGTTTCAAATCGAATTTTCAACTCTAAATAAATCCCTAAATTACGGACAGCATACAACTGCGCCTCATATTTCACAACTAAGCCAACAGACTGTTTCGAGGCAATATTTGTTATCCATGATGCTACCCTGAGAGAGTAACTTAGCAGCACCTTACTATAGCGTCAGGAAATTCGAATTTAAAAAAACTTCAGGCTCTAAATTATTTGAAAATCATAAAACGGCACATCTCGGAAACCTCGGGAAACGATTTGAGCAATCAAAAAATGGAGGCAAGATTTACAATTTCTGATAAAGAACAGAAGTACCCTGAAAACAAACCACTATAGGGATGGGTTTATCAAATTCAAGTAGTCATTTTTGAAGGTAAAATTTGCAGACCTGAGAGTGACCAGATAGCACCCCATTATACGTTTACGAATTTCAAATTTTTTTAAATCTAAGTTTTTCGAATAAAATCGCTTAAATAGTTGTCTCCTAAATAAGAGATTATAGAAATCGAAAACATAGACTGATTTCGCAACCCTTAAAAGAACCCAGAAAGCATCCAACAATAGTTTTGCTAGAAAAGAAGTTCGAACAAAAACACAAACCAAAAGGTTTAAGGTTCTCGTTAAGAATACAGGAAAAATGTAAACTTAACAAAATCGCGCTTCAGCAGGTTTTTAATACCTCGCTTCCCATGCTTGTATCATACCCACAGCCTCAATTCTAGACTTTCAATTGGAAGGTTCGTTCAAAAACTAAAAAAAAAATTAAAAATTACAATATACGGTATAGCTTTAACGTGCATAAATTTTTTCGCAAAACTAATTCAAAAATGAACATGCTAAATATTATTTTGAAAAAGCCTCAACATGGAGAGATAAAGAACCTCGCAGTCAAATAAATAATAGATAAAAAGATTTTACTGAGGGAACTATCAAAAAATCATTTACTGGCAAAAATTTGAAATCGCCCGAATTGTTTAATTTGGAATCTTAACACCGTAATAAAGCATGGTCAATAACAATAAACCGATGACAATAAAGTGTTGTCCAAAACAGATATATGAAAAAAAAATTTAAAAAAGGATGCTCTTCAAGAAAAAAAACTTGAACGATAAATTCCGCAAGTTATCTTATTATTTTTTGGTTATTCAGATGCCTAATTTTACCTCGAAAAGAATGCCAAAATGACGCAACCGTTATTCAATGGCTTCCGTAGTTCGAAACGTTTATTCGCATTTTTTGAGAAGAAACATTCAAACTGCCGGAATAAACCATTCCGTGCAAATTGGCGACTCACTAATGGCAAACGAAAATTTAATTGCAGTCGCCTGTCAACTACAGAAGATGAGTTTTGGTGGAATCGATTCCAAAAAATAAAGATTCTGATCGGTTCCTGATCGGTTCACTGAACCTTTTTTTACTCTGATTAAAGCATTCATTTCTCACGAAATAATCATAAAATGGACGAATGGCCAGCTTACAACGAAATTACATCAATTCGGGTAACTCTTCTTTAGACCATAATACAGTGAATCATTCCAAAAAATTTAGATCCGGTGACGGGAAGCCATACTTACAACGTTGAAAACTGGAAAAACTGCAGACCAAATTTCGGTAATCTTTTGGAAGGATGGTCCCAAACAATCATCAGTCGTCCATATATAAGTCAGATAGGAACGTTTATGAAGATAGTACTATTTTTTTCCGGTGATTTGATATTTCCTTTTTAAAAACACGTCACAAAGTGTTGGCACATACCGGATACTAGTAGAAATTTCAACTAGTATCAATACTAGTACAAACTAGTATAAGAAAATCATGATACTTGTATCCAGGGTGTAAAAAAAAACAATCAATAAGATAATCAAAAATTTTGTAATCTACATTTTTAGCGGTTTTCAAACTTAGAACTGAAATAAAAAGTTGTATTAAAATATTGTCAAAAAATAGCTCGACAATTAAGCGTTGTCCAAAACAAATATCTGAAGAAGAGCTAATTAAAAGGGACTAATTACAAAAAAATAATCAAATTGAACAAAAAATTCAGCAAACTATCTTATTATTAGGGTTAATCAGATGCCTAATTTTACCTTGAAAACAAGGACAAAATTATGCAACCGTTATTCAAAAGCTTCCGTAGTTTCCAGAAGTTGTGGAAAAAAATTCAAATTGGCGGAATTAACAATTCCGTCCCAATTGGCGAATCCTTTAATGGCAGAAGAAATTACAACTGTGGTCGACTGCCAACCCCAGAGTTAGTTTAAGTGATATCGACCCCAGAAACGATGATTTTCTTTGATTGTTCTCCCGTTTGGTCCACTGATCTTTTTTTATTTTGAACAATTCACTGTTCGTGAAACAATCATTAAATGGACGAACGGCGAGCTAAAAACCAAGTTTACATCGATTGGGGTAAACCCTCTTTACAACCACGATACAGTGAATAATTACGGACAATTTAGATCCGTTCACGGAAAGCAATACTTACAAGGCTGAAATTATAGAAAAATTGAAGAGGAAATTTCGTTACTGGTTTACGAAGAACTAGCGTGTAGCGCACCTCCGGTGCTTCGAACTTTCAACAACTCAAAAAACTATTCTTTGAGTATACTCTGACAGCTCCCAATTACAGGGTTCGTAATTACCAAGTTTTTAATTCAAGTTTTTATACAAATTTTGAAAAACCATAAAATTTTGAAGTTTAATA